TCAGTCAAAATGATCTCGGCTCCAGGAAAACCAGAATCTTTGGACTTGATGTCTCTCTTGCCTACCGTCCTCGCTCAGTAGGGGCTTCCTATCACCGGCCGTCATAATCTCCCAGCAAAGTAAGGAATTAATAGCCCCCTGAGATACGGAAAAAACCACATAATACTTGTTCTTAAATGTTCAGATAGACTCTGAGTATGCCTTGAATAACTTCCTCGACTACTTCAAGAAAACCAAGCCGAACAGACCCTCTGAGGTCTTCTTCCATTGAAGATGGAAGTAGGCAAAGAATAGGGGGATAGTGGCCCCAATCTTAAAGTGATCACAAATAATTTAGAACGCCCTCGCAAAGGCTAATGAGTTCGGATTGAGGTGTGAGGGTGCTAAATCCAGATGTGTAAGAACCTCCCCTTAAAGATCCGAGAACGACAAATGAAGCCCCGTCTCCCTGAAAATGTATTCATACATGGGGAACCTATCGATCTCGAACGGTAAGCATATCCACTCGTTCTCCCCTGGAAACAAGATCTTCCAATCTTCCTTTCCATTTGACGAACTCGTTTCGCCTCCTACTTCCATAAAGACCCCCTCGAGGAAGGAAGAGAAAAACGAAGTTGTCCCCCACGACTCTGGAGAAATCCACTCATTAGGGCCCATGGTCGTCCGCTCTTCCCCAGAAGTTTCGATCTCCTCAAATTTCGTCCTCAAAATATGTTGCCATTTTCAACTGAAAATCAATGGACACAAGTGAAGTCAACGATCAAATCAAATACACCTCTCCACCGCTAGTCAAGTAAAATGGCGTACGAAGGCACGAGAACAATGTTCTTGGTCAAAGCCCTTACGCAAGCATCAAGCGAGGACACCCACAAAATCTTGCTCGAATGATCTAAAGCTTCCCCGACAGACAAACCCTAAAAATCCTACAAAGTAATCTCCCCGGCATGTTAACCTAGAACTCCGTTTGCAGATTCATAGGAAAACTCATGCATTCATCAAAAAAATTATTGAGAAATCTAAAATACTCATCAAAAAGCTCATGAGTCCACCAGAGAACTCATGACGGCGAGCACAATGCCACCAAAGCCACGATCCCAGAACAATAAAAAATGCATGCGTCTTCGCTCAACCTCACACTCTCACCGATGATAGCATCAGAAAGTGGCATCACCACTTCCAGACACTAACAAGTCGCCAGAGCAACACTCATCACAGCCTAATCTATCCTATCCGCATGCATTTCAATTGGAACAAAACAAAGCTAAATCCAACTTGAAACAAAGGAATAGAAGACTTAAGTGGTTAGAGAGATTTGAGTTGTGTTCGGAAGCTTCTGTTGCAGCGAAGAACGGCGGCAACGACGATAGAAAAGCAAAGAACAGAGAGAGGGAAGAAGAGAGAGAAGAGAAAGTGAAAGTGAATCGTCCTCTCTCTTATTTATAAGGTGATTTCAATATACGTCCCCGCACACGCACAACATAGGGTAGCGTAGGGGTCATTATCGACCCTAGCCCCTAGGCTGCCATCATTACGCATTAATGACAACACATGGCTCGATGCAGGCGTGACACACAACCTCCCCAAGTCCAATCAACTGTTGGTCTTCCCGCACGCCAGATACGTGAAGCCACTTTAGGTTCCTCATACATGCATGTCCTCAAATAAATCTTTGGACGAATTCGTTTCCTACAACAAACAGCACGACATTGTCCCCTCCTCGACATGACTCTAAGTCATCACTCTTGCACCTAGGAACAACGACTTGGGGGGCTCCTGTTATGGACGAGTCCAATGGCTAAGCAGGGCACAATTCACTTTTGCATGTAGGACGACCCAATAACATTGATCTAATAAACCATGGAAGATAAAAGACACTTTTCCCTTCTGCCCCCACTCTAGGAGCCATGGTCGGTTGACCCCCAGGTCCATACGATCAAATTTTCCCGCTCAAACAGGCTAGTCCTCATCCTGCTAAGCCACACGAGGATAGTCACCCAAGAACGATCAAAAATCACGTTTGCCCGTGAAATACTTCCCTGCCGGTTGTAACGGCTAGTTCCGAGCATCTCTGTCCGTTACAACGACTAGTTCTTGGCAGTAACCTATTTTTGAAGAACCTGATATATAGGCCCAAAAATAGAAACCAATGGCCAAGCGTCAGGGGCACTATATAAACCCTCACACTTGTGAGAGCCAGGTATTCGATATTCATTCTAAAAAACGCTTATCTCTTTCTTATATCTTTTTGCACTCTTACTTACTTGAGCGTCGAAGTGCCTTGCAGGAACATCTCCTCCTCCTTTTTGATTTCAGCCTTACAGACGTCATCTTTCAGTCAACTTCGAATGTATATATATATATATATATATATATATATATATATATATATATATATATATATATATATATATATATATATATATATATATATATATATATATATATATATTAAAGACATTTGGTTTTACAAAAATCATATAAAAACTAAAAATTATTTTAAAAATATAAAATAATATTATTTATTACTTCTCTATTATTACTTTGACTTTATTTTAATTTTGGTTCTTCTATTTTACTTCTTTCATGAAACTGTTCACTCTATTTTAAATTAAAATAATTTTGATCTCTCTTATATATTTTTAGTTAATTTTAATGATGTATGTAGTTTTAGTGATGTATTAACTATTTAATTATATTTTTTTATTTTTTATTCTCTCTTTTTCATATTATTTGTTTTAGTGAACCATTTAACACGGATTTAAAAATAATAATAAATAAAAGAGAATAATGACTTTTTAAATTATCCTGATTAACTATTGATATATTCGAATTAAATATTAATGTTAGACGAGAAAACAATAAATTAATAATATTGATTAGAAGGAATAATCGAAAGATTAAATATAAAATTATATTGACAATATAAAGTGATAAATTTTTTGAGATAATATTTTTGTAAATATGACACTTATTTTGAGACAGATAGAATAATATTTTTCTTTATTATTTATTTATGTCCTCAAAATTGATAAGACGTGTCAATTTTTAATAACTTATTATTTATATTTTTATCTTTAAAATTCTACAATAAATTTTATATTATAATTTATTCTATTTTGTAAGTGACATATTATTTAAAATAAATATTAATTAATTTTAAATATAGAAAGGTGAAAGAGAAAACGGTTGAATTTTTAATAAGAAGATTAATTTCATGAATGAATAAAATATGACTATTAAAGTATAATTAAGCATATTAGTTTTTACTTGACCTTTCGTCATATATAATTATCTATTTAAAAAATACAAAATATATAATCATATTTTGAATAAGAAACACCAGCCTTAGTATTATTGATTAGTTTAAGATTTTATATGTAACATTGTGTATCTTATAAAAGTTTAATATAATTTCAATTTATAAAACTATTATAGTCTATCTATTCTCTTATCAAATTAAAGAAAAAATGGATGCAGCATACAGTACAATGTATTATCAATGTATAAACTATATATATAAAAAAGGTATATTTAAGGTATGTTAAAATTTAAATACTTGGTGCCAAGAAAATTCAGCCACATATAAAAAAATACAAACCGTCCCACACAACTCCACGCGATATTTTTATATATAGAAAAATGTTTGACTTTTGATTAATTTTTATTCGAAATTTAATATTAAATTGTTTAGTGTCAGAATTTTATATAACCATACATGCAAGGTAAATGGTTTTTTTAATGCTAAGATAGTACTAGTCTACAATCCTAATTAACTTTGTTAAATTTTATACATAACTTTTTTAGATTCCCATATTTAATACCATTGCTTCGCAAATAAGACTAAGTAATATATGTATAAAAACTTGAAGAGATATTTTTAAAACTAATTAAAAAATGGGATCATAAAGTATGAATTGTATAAAATGACTTACAATTAAATTAAATTATGAATTTAATGAATATATATTAATTTTACACTTTCGTCTAATAAAAAAATTATCTGTATATCATGTCATTAAAAGTTTTTTAAAATAAAAAATAATTAAATTAGATATATAGTAGTGATTGATTAAGAGTATAAAATTATTTTATACAGTTAATGTATCACTTATTTTATCTTAAATTATTATTATATTTAAAAGTATATATTTTTTTAATAAAAAAACTACATGTTCAGAATTGAGTTCGATTTTAAAATTATAGATTAAGTTGGAAAATAATGTTTATTATGTTATTCAAATGGTCTGATTTATTTATTGCAAATACATACTATAATTTTATAAAAAGTAATTATCTGAATATAAATAAAATAAAACACGTTGTAAATAAAGGGGAAAAAAACAATCTAGAGTCAACCTTGAAAAGCAGTGGCATAGGGTAACGTTATAAAAAATTTGGTGTATTGAAGAGAAGAAAAAGAAGAGACAGAAAAAAAGGTGAAACATAAAAACAAGGTAAACGGAGTTATTATGGTTTTGTTCGAAATAATAATAATGACTATTGAATTGTATGCATGCATTTTGCACTATCGTTATCTCTATGCGTGCGTGTATTGTGTTTGTGTTGTGCATTTTGCATGCACTTTCTCTCTCTATAAAAACCTCTCTCTCTCTCTCACTATTTACGGTTACCATGTTCCATTCCATTCATATTCACCTTTTCATATTTTCTTCTTCTTCGATTCACTGTTAGTGTCCAAGTTAAACAGCAATTGACTACGACGCGATTATCTATCTCTTTTTTCTCTGTGCATGGTTACAACAACACATAGAAAACACTACATAGTTGTTTTTGTTTTTTAAGGTTGGTTCTGTTTTTTTGTTTGTTTGTTCTGTTTTATGTTAATCCTTTTGTTGTTTTTATCTTGAATCTTAGATAATCTAATCTGTGTTTTTTTTTGTCTTGTTCTTGTAGTGTATGGTTTTATGTTGCTGAAATTCGAGTTTTTGGTTTTTGATTTTTAGGGTTTTGACTTTGATTTGTTCTGGATTCTGGTCAATATGGGGGTTGAAGTTTGCATGAATAAACTGTGTAAGGATGGTTCAAGTGGTGAATGGAAGAAAGGGTGGTCTTTGATGTCTGGTGGATTCGCAAAACTCTGCAACAAGTGCGGGTAAATTTCATTTCTCTGTCTCTTACTTGAGCTGAGATTTTTTTTTTCTTCATGGATTTGATTCTACAATGCTGTGATTTTGGGGTTTCGACTTCAGTGCTAGTACTTTTTGTTATTGTTAATGGAGTTTGAATGACATGTAGTGGTTAATTTGACGCATCTGCGTAGTTAGCACACGTCTATGATCGTTGGATCGAGATTAGACGGTCTAAATTTCTACGCAAGTTTTGATTTTTCAAATGAAAAAATACGAAGCTTGAAATTTAGACGTCTGATATTGATCTAACGCTCACACAGATTGTGCTGACCACGTAAATGGTAGATTGCAGAATGTATTGGGTTGTGTTTCTTGTAAATAATTTTGCGATTTGACTCGAGTCTTTTTATGAGTTGAAATTGGATTAGTCAATAGTTTCAACCATTTTTCTTTTCCGGGTCTTCAAGGATTTGGATTCCTTGTATTCTCTCGCCTTTGCGAATCATAGTCTTGGGATGAAATGAAGATTAATGGATTCATATTTTGAGTTTTTTTTTTTTAAGTTCAAGTCAAATTATGAAACGTTCTGTCTTCATCTGACGAATGAGATTCCTTGAGGGCGCGGCTAATACTCCATCTGAAATGAAATATAAGCAAAAAGAATTTAAAAAGTCAAATGTATTGTTTTAACACTTAGACAAAATATACATTTGACTTTGTAGATTTTTTTTCTCATTAGACATTAATCACTTTAGCTTGTATCTAATTCCAGAGGAAGCACATAACCATTTCTGTTATGTGCGTAACAGTCCAAATGCTACTTACCTGCTTTTGTTCTGTGGTTTCTTATTTTTCTTGACAGTCAATGTTAAACTTTAGAGAGTAAAACTAGAATTTTTTGCTTATTCCAATCAAACTAATGTTTAGGTTTTGTTGTCAACTAGTCTCTTCCCTCTGCTACTTCTTGCTTATGTTCTTGATTTGTCATGTTTAGACTTGCCTATGAGAATTCGGTTTTCTGTGATGTATTCCACCGTCATGAAGCCGGTTGGAGGGAATGCAGCAATTGCAACAAGGTAAAAAAATGCTATTTAAATTATCCTTAAGTCTCTTTTGTCTCTCTTAAACATTGAATCTTATTATTTGATTTGATTTGTTTTGCAGCCGATTCACTGTGGATGTATTGTTTCAAGGTCTTTGTTCGAGTACCATGATTCAGGCGGTATAGGCTGTGTTAGCTGCATCAAGATTTCCCATTTTTGTCCGGTAAGGTTAAGTTGAATACTCATTTATGTAGAATGATTTTCAATCCTAAATTATGTTATTTGAGTGCTTTCTATGGATACAGGATACTGAAAAATCTAATAGGTTTACTCTATCGACCAAACACAATGCTAGTGATCGATATGCTGAACGTGCTGGCAAAGGAAACCTATTGCAGTTGTGTAGAACGGCTGAAGTTGGTGAGTCAAGCCGTTGGCCACATGCTCAAAGAGATGGCATGGTTTCATGCAACGGTCCAAAAAGCGGAGAAGTTAAGTGTCAATTCAACAAAGAGGATCGAGGATATTTAAATGTGATGAAGCACTCTAGTCCTTTATCAATGATTACTACATCGAAAAATAACAGACCAACATGGGGGGAGACTAAAAATATAGATGAACTATCGCTGAAGATTTCTCTTTTTCAGCAAGAGCAACAATCTCACCCTTTATTGACTAAGCAAATGAAGAATGGGGCTACGATGAATCTTGAAGCAAATAAAGGTTTGATTTCTCATGAACGCGTTGGCTGGCCACATGCTGATATGAAAGGGAAAAGTCAGTTACTTTCTCGATACTGGCCAAGGATTACTAACCAAGAATTGGAGAAGTTGTCTGGAGAGTATCCTTTATAGTTAAACTCTATTTAGATAAACAACTTAAGTGCTTAAGTATAAGCAATTTTTTAACTAACAATAAATTGAAGTCAAACTATTTTCATACAAGTTATAAGCTATTTTCATAAGCTCTCCTGAAGTGCTTACAGAAATAAGCTGAAAACAGCGTATGAACATGCTATACACTGTTTCTATAAAGTCTCTAAAATAGTCTGAGACGAACTTATGCTTTTAGATAAGCTCAGATAAGTCATTCCAAATCAGCCTTTATTATTTTGGTCTATTACACATTCTACATTAAACTTGCAAAGTTGATGCATTAATAGTTTCCCTTAACATTATCATCTCAGTTTGAAGTCTACTATAGTGCCCTTATTTGAGAAGGTGTTAAGTCCGAGTGATGCGGGTCGAATTGGCCGCCTTGTTCTCCCAAAAGCGTGTGCTGAGGTATCCTTTGATGATTATCTCTACCTGTGTATACGAGACTATATTTTAATGGTTTTTTATTAAAGAAAAATACATATTCTCCTATTATCGAGACACATGACGAATCTACATATGAATTTCAGGCTTTTCTTCCTCCTATTTCGCAATCAGAAGGTGTTCCATTACAGTTCCAAGATTTGAAAGGGAACGAGTGGACTTTTCAGTTCCGGTTTTGGCCCAATAACAACAGTAGAATGTATGTATTGGAGGGTGTGACTCCTTGCATACAGGCGTTGCAATTAAACGCCGGTGATACTGGTAGACATCAATCTAAAGCCATGATTACCGCACATACTATTGTGTTTTCATTTCGCACGGATATTCAAAGTTACTTGGTATTTTGTTTCATGTCAAAATGTTATCAACTAATACGACCTTTTTGCTGTAGTGACATTTAGTCGGATAGAACCTGGAGAAAAATTTGTACTCGGTTTTAGAAGGGCTACGAACTCTATGGATACACAGGTTATGACATGATTCTCAACTATACTATCTTTAGCTTCTTCACTTATTTTTGAAAATATGATTAAAAGGACTATTATTTAAACAGGATGCCGCTGCATCAGCTCATTCAAACGGAATTTTGACGAAGGACACAAACCTTTCTGGTGGAACTAACATTTTGAACTCATTAGGTAATATTTCTGATCTTCTTCGAAAAATGAAAGGTAACGGGGAACCGGACTTAACTGGACATTCAGATCATCTGCATTTGAGTAACGGAACTTATGATTGGCTTAAAGCCGCACATAGTGAGGCGGCAATAAACCCCGATCCATTGCAACAACTGGTTTCTGTTTCAGAAAAGAAAAAGACTCGTAACATTGGGCCGAAAACCAAGAGGTTGCACATTCGTAGTGAAGATTCTATAGAGTTGAGACTTACATGGGAAGAAGCACAAGACTTTCTTTGTCCTCCGCCTAGTGTCAAGCCGAATCTTGTGACCATCGAGGACCAAATATTCGAAGAATATGATGTAAGTGAGAACCTGTGAATGATATTAGTTTCGAGACTTTGGAGAATCGTGCTCGAATATTGTTACCTGGATTATCTTTTTGACTTCTACTTAATTTTTATTTAGGAACCACCTGTCTTCGGGAGGAGAACTATAACCAATACTTGTCAATCTTCTGCATCAGAGCAGCTCAGTCCAAAAGAAAAAGAAAATCTTCTGCGAACCAGGAAAGGTATGATTCTTCTGTCTATTTTATATGTAAGTTCTGTAGTAGTCTTGTTTATCGAAACACCATTTGATTCGGTTACTACATTGTTTAGCTTATTTGATTCAATTCTACTTTTGTGTTCTATCTGTCCTTGATAATTAGTACATAATAATTCCTATATTTTGTGGCTGAGCGCGGTCTTTTTCAGTTTCTAAAAAGAGAAAAAGTGTCGAGAAGAGGAAGTCGATGGAGCCAGACAAGCTTTCAAGTCTAGAAGCTCTTGCAAGTGCAGCAATTTTAGGAGACAATCTTGCTGAACCCGGCGAGTCATTATCAGCTGGAGCAACCACCAAACACCCGAGGCATCGTCCTGGATGCAGTTGCATCGTGTGCATTCAACCACCGAGCGGACAAGGAAAACATAAGCCAACATGCACTTGTGTTCCCTGCGAGACTGTGAAGCGTCGGTTCAATACCTATATGATGCGTAGGAAGAAAAACAAATCAGAATCATCTGAAGCAGCTGCTTTCCAGAACGATCAAATGAATAGTAGAGATGAAGCAGATACCAGTGGCGGCGCATCAGGACAAGATACAAGCCACTCATCGGACGAGGGAAGCCTAAATGAAGGTCAGCTCGAGGTTGTTGAACCGAATGTGGCGGGACAGTTAGATCTGAATTGTCATCCCAATCATGAAGATATGGAAATGGATACATGTGACAAGACAGATTATGACTAACTAGTCATCTTGAAAGAATTGCTGAGGGAATATATGAAAATAGTCTTAAACTTAATTCTCAAGTGAAGTTTTAGATTACATTCATTTTTATTTTATTTAGGTAGTTTCATACCAATTTTAGATTTCTCGTTAATTGCACAGTCTAGTTTTTCTTTCCTTTTCAAAAGGAATGATTAAGATAGATTTTTTTTTATAGTTAAAATAAAGTTATAGCTTTTCTAGTTTAGGCCGGACGTGTCATGTTCAACTTGGTATATCTATTGTTTTTCATCTTTGATAGGTGGAAAAGGAAAACATGTTCAGTTAGTGGCTAGAAATTCATCCTCGTGAATAAGTGAGATGTAGCAGATTTGAACCAGTCCGTGTAATCTGATGTTTTTGAGATGTAGCAGATTTGAACGAGATGTATCAGAATGAGATGTAACAGATTTGAACTGCTGCCCGTGCAGTATGATGTTTTTGCATAATTATCAATTAAGATAGTTTAACGGGACAATAACAAATATTTTTATATAGTACTTTTTCAAACAATTAACTTAATGTCTCTTACAAGGCAACAACCATTTATTAAAAAATGTATATTTATAAATATATATTAAAAAAAACAAAGATAAGAGCCAATTGGTATGTATGAATTGAATCTAATGTACTCTTAGCTAAACATTTTAATTTTCGACCGGCCTTATACCACACAATGTTTGTCCATATGTGATCGTCTTTGTTTCCAATGTAACCAAAATCACACGTCTAAAAACATCCTTTTGTGTCACCTTTTACCTTAAAAATTCCAAACCTATCATCATCAATCCATCATTATCAATATAATATAGTTCTGGTCATATCTATAACCATATAACATAGGGCTAAAGTTCTATATTATGTAACACATAGCTATAGGCTAATCAAATATACTTGTCCTTAACATATAATTTGTAATGGATGAAAAACCAATTTTGCTTGATCTTGAAACATTGTACCTAGGAATCCCAGATGAATCTGTTAACCTGACTTTTCAAGACCTTGCTAATGTGAAGACAACAACCACTAATCAACATGTTTCTGAAGTTGCTAATAATATTCCAACAAAGGCAAATTCGTCGTCATCCTCATCATCGCCTTTACCCTCACTATCCAAAATACCTAGTCTTGATTTTAGCGTAGGCTTGCAAGCTTCCATTCAACACAACCAACATCATCATCATCATGATATTGGTCGTGGTGGCTCGCCATGGGGTCATTTTGGACAACGACCTAATGAGGAAAACCGTGGACATGTACATGCACATGATCCTCCTCAATTTAGTCATACAAGTGGAGGTACAAAAAGTCCCCGGGATACAAAGAGTCCTCGATCCATGACAGGTGGAGATGATCGTTCTACGTATAGTATGAGCTATGATGATGTGAGTATGGCTTCTGGAAGAGGTGGTGGTGGACGTCGACGAACTGGAATTCCTCACTCTAAGATTTGTACCATTTGTAGTACCTATGTTTATGTCTTCCGTACTAGATGTTTGGTATGTCAACAAGATCTCTCATTCTTTCTTTTCTTTTCAATTATTTTTCAAAAATTGGACAAAACTTTTCTATATAATAAACTTGATACAATAAATAAACGTTGTCGCCAGAGATTGAACCATAGACCCGCAGCTTAGTTATAGCTGCATGAGTTAATGATTTAGTAACACTATTGATAATGGTGTATGGATGCAGGTATGTGGAAGAGTTTATTGCTGCAGATGTGTGAAGCTGGGAATGGGAGAGATGGTAGAAGGAAGAAAGTGTATAGAATGCCTTGGATTGAAATTCAGCCAAAGGTACATAGAAAGAGCAGGGAAGGTAGGGTGTTGCAATTGGAGGTATCCAATAACAATGAAGCAAGTTGAGCTTATTTGTGCAGAAAAAGGACCAAGAAGGAGTAGAAGATCACATACTCAAAGTGGTGTGACAACTCCAAGATCAAAAAGTCCAATAGCACCTAGAAGCCCTCATGCTATTGGTAATAGCAATGAACACTCTTTTGCCTTGTCCTCTTCTTTTTCTCCTTTCTCTCCCCATCATAATAACCTCCCTTTTTAAAAATTATTTACATATCATATAGAGTTCTCATGACACATGAGATAGTTTTTCATAATAATTATTATCTGTGTTTCATTTTATGGGATGTTGTTTAATTTAATTTGTTATAAGTAGCTTATTTCTTGTAAGATTATTGATCAATATTTTAATTCTATGATATCTTATTTTGCAAATTCTATATTAGTATAGTCACCTATTGTTACTTGGTAGCATCTATTGCATATGCGCTTTTTAAATCTATACGACAAAGGAAAGATGCCATAACATAGGACAAAGAAAAAATGTTAAATTGTGTAGCTAATAAAGTTGAAAGAATTCAAGCTCATGTAAGTAGGGGGTAGCATCTTTCCCGCTCCGCTTAAGCTCATTCAAAAATGGAACAGGTCAATTTAGATATTCAAATTTAAAAATTAAACTTGTCTCGCTTACCAATGATTCAGTGGATCAGTCCGTCAAATTTTTTTAATTTCTTTTTCATTTTATTATTTTTTTCGTAAGAAAGAGGGTCTAAACTCAAGAAACAAAACAAAAATTAAGAGAAACTTTCCACTGGAGCTACAAAATCAGAAAGATCACGGCCCAAATTAGACTACACGAAATTAGGAGCTTCATCAAAAATTCTCACACACTTCTTCTCTAAACCACTTTTTGCTAGAGTATTAGTATAAAAATTATCCTCTCGATAGACATGAGCCACTGTGACAAACTCATGTTGATCCATAAGTCTACGGATCTCTCTAGTCAAAGCCAAGCAATCCGCTTTGGTAATTTTTCCATCTTCTATCGCTTTCACCACCACCTTAAAATACACATTTAATTTGACTCTCATCAAACCTAACGCCTTAGTGAGCTTGAGACCCTCCAGAACACCCCAACACTCTGTCATCATGGCATTACATTGTCCTAAAAACTTTGAGAAGTCACTAATCCACATGCCTTTATCATCTATAATAACCCCTCCACAACCAGCTAAACCTCCCACCTTACTAGCACCATCAGTGTTGAGTTTGACCATGTTTGTATGAGACGATATCCAACCATTACTTCTCCTTCCTATACTACACCTAGTCACTTTTAAGTTTTGATTCCTAGCATTCTCATAGTCCACTTTACGAGCCAAAATATGTTGCATTGTGTCGATCGGTCTCGCAAAGTTATCATCATGCATTTTCATTTTCTCCAAGTCCAAATAGCATGGCATGTTGTAGCCCATATACTAATCCAACCCTTTCTTTTACCTTCCCACTCCTTAATATTTAATCTAATTCAGTCCTTGAGTTCAACAGAGAAAAACTCGATAATACAATAACTTGGCACTAGATCTTTCCAAATATGTAAGTTAGTTGGACAATTCTCATGGCATGGATAGTAGATTCACATGCATTACCACATAAGATGCACCCTGAACTACCGATTCCTTTTCTGCTTTTTCTCAGATTAATAAGGAGCTTGTCATGATTCATCATCCAGACAAAACTCCTACATCTCTCTAAAACACCAATTTTCCATATCAAACTCCAAACTTCATCTTCCTCTTTGTTTGCAAAGCATGTATATTCATTGTAAATCTCTTTCATAGAGAATCTTCCATCTCATGTACTTGCAACGACAAATCTGACAGTTTCACGCCCAAATCTGGGTGGTAAACATGCACAAAGTTTATCCAACAAACATAAGATGCGAGATCATATCATCATGTCTCCCCATCTTGATAGTTTTCTGATTATTGTTTCTTACATCTCGCTCTATTAAGTGGGATAGTTTATCCATGCATAACACAAAGATATACGAAGATAGAGGATCACTTTGGAAAATACCACGTTAAGGCTGAAAGTAGGAATTTCTCGTACCATTCCAATTAACATTAGTTTCCACCGTTGTCACGCCATGCATGATGAGGTTAACCATACTTATAGGGATCTTTATTTCATATATCCAGAGTGCGCCAAATGAATTTTCAGCTTAGCTTGTCGTAATCTTTCGAAAGGTCGACCTTTATAGCAAAGAAGACCCTAGATCCTTTCACCATTTCCATATTATGCATTACTTCTTTCTCGATTATAATATTTTCATGAGTCAATATTCCAAGTACAAAACTCATTTGAAGAGGAGAGGTTAATTGATCCATGCTAGTTTTCAACCTTCCCACCATGACCTTACTTATCACTTTATATATAATATTACACAATGATATTGGATGAAACTGCATTACACTTGTAGGGTGCTCTACCTTAGGGATTAGACATATATATTTGTTTGGTTAACCACGCCTATCTCATTAGGTTTCTCCCACAAGTGTAAAAATACGTAAGTATTCAAATTCTCATTTTTTACCAATAGAGAGGAAAACATTTAAGGATTGGCTTCCTTAATGCACAATATAATTTTTTTCTGAGTAAAAAAAATTTTAACGAAAAATTAAAGGGTAAAACCTGTCCCATTTCACATTTGCCCTATTTTTAAAGCGGGTTAGACAGGGTGAGTCAACTTAAGGTGTCGATCCAGAAATCTTGGTTTGTCCCGTAAAAAATGATTGATCAAACGAGCTGGCCTGACAGTCTCGATCCGTTTTGCCACCTCTAAAAGTAAGTAAACAACAATGCATAATTAACCTTTAAAATGAATGGGGTGTTATTAACGAGAATAAGATCTTGTATTTGAGTAAATATGAGTAAGTGATTTTATATTCTATGTGATCATTGAGGACTTTCAAAAAGAAACTTAAGAGGGGAAGATGGATTCAATGTTTTAAATCGACTCGGTCAAACTATTGGGTCACTAAGTTACTAGTTGAACTAGTGGGTCACTGGTCGTACCTTATGAATTTTAATAATATAAAAATATAATTTTATTTTTCTTTGATAATATGATTTTTTTTTCCAAAACTTTTGTTAATTTATAGGATTATTACATCGTATAAT